TCTATCCTTATATCCAATTTGGGATATGATTTGATTGCATAGTGTGGATCCAATAGGATGACTTGGTTAATTGATAGACCTCAACTGTCGATAAGCCGCCATCTATATGGGGTCATGAGATTCTTACTCTTTTGTCGCATGGTTTGGCATGAGCCTTAAAAGCACCGATATGCTCCTGTGAGATAATCATCCTTTGTGACACCCTTTACTATTCATCATTCAAATGTAAGCAAGATTTCTTTAATCGAGAGTATTCTTGGGCATCCTCTACGATGTAATTAACCAAATGAGCTATGTCCCTTTAGGAGTGCTCTTGAACCCAGGAAGAGTGCAAAAATTTGGTTTTGTGGTTTCTTGTGTAGCTTATGTAGGTATTCTCCTGCGGATATTCAGCTCAAGGTGTCTTGATCCAATTCTATTTGGGCGTACACCCTTGACAGATCGCACGAGGTTTAACGCACATTCACTTTCTAGGTTCTTTCTTCAAATTATCTGCCTAGTCTCTATCTTATTTCCCGCTTTTATGATCCCTCCTCTACTCAAAATCATTTTGGTGGTTCAACTAAGAGGGTTATTTGTGAAAAGGAATTTTAAGATGATGACTAGACATGTTGGTGACTCCTAAATTACAAAAAGAACCAAAACACACAAGATAATGGAGGTTTAAGAGAATTCATATGAGGTAAATAGATGGGCTTTTTGTTGTAATATTAATGTTTTATGTTTCACATATGTAATTATGAATGTTTGGTGTTATGGAAATTCCTATCTATGTTTGGTTTCCTATTTTGTCTTTATTTTGTTGGTCTGAATATGGGATTTTCAAAGTTGCCAAAAAATTCGGAATTACTCTTGCTGCTAATTCTTTAAAGCAAGAGGTTCCATATTATCTTTTGCTCGTGTTAGTATTCAAACTAATGTGAATTTTTTATGTCCTAAAGTTAGATCCTCCTTGAATATTGATAATGCTACAATGAATATTGTGTCATCCCATTTGGCTAATTTTTTAAGACATGCTCTTACCAATTATGTAGTACCTTCCTTTGACCCTAGACCTAGGAAAGGTAGGGCTTAAGGAGTTTGTGCTTCTCATTAAGTTATTTTTTTCTCTATTTTATGATTTTTCTTAAATTTTCTTATAAATTTACAAAAAAATTTAAGTTGGAATATCAAGGGGGCTTAATAACAATGCTTGCATTTGTGATTGTAGGCATTTTGTTAAAGATTTGAATTTGGATCTTCTTTTTTTATTGAAAACTAAAACTTTCCTTTCTACTTATGTAGAACCATTTACTTCCAAGTATTTTAGTTTGTTATCATTTGAGGAAAGTGTTAATAACTTTCATTTGATGGATAATGGCATAATTTGGATTAGATGGAATTCTGCTAAGTTGAATTTCATTGTTTCAATTATTAATGCTAAGTTTATTCATGGTATTATTTCTTTTTCTTCTTTTTTAAAATTTAGTGTTACTTTTGTTTATGTGGATAATAGTGTTATTCGTATAGAGAACTTTGTGGTTCTCTTTTCTCTTTAATGATTGGTATTCATGAACCTTGGAATGTGATGTGTGATTTTAATTGCATTAGAAATATTAAAGAAAAAATTAATTGTTCTCCCCCAATTCCTAGTAAACTTCTTGATTTTAGTAACATTATTTTTAATTCTAGTTTTATTTATATGTCTTATTATGGTCTCTCTCTTAGTTGGTTCAATCAACAAAAAAGATTTTCATATAAGGTGTTATTTTTTTTATGGCAAAAGCCTTTTGCATCCCTTCATCTGGGAACATCTGTCTTTTGATCATTCTTCTATTGAGATTTATTTTGGAATTTTTTAGAAAATTACTCAAAAATTTTTGTATAAAAATTATTGGAGATCTTGCCATAATTTTAGTTCTACAGTGGAATCTACTTGGGCTTTAAAAGTTAAGGGATATCTTTTTTTTTTCTTTGTAATAAGTTGAAAAATGTTAACATTTCTTTGAAAAAATGCATTTGGAATTCAAGTAACGTTATTTATAATAACATTAAAACTTTTAATAATCAACAATTCATAGTAATGTCTCAACTTGATATCAACATTTATGATACTTCTTTATTGGTGGAGGCGCTTGTTATCCAATCTCAATTAGCTAATGTTTTACACTATGAATATAAAAGGTTAAAACAAAAACCTAATGCTCTTTGCTTTCTAAAGGCGAAGATGACATTAAATTTTTATATAAAAAAATTAAAATCAATGATTGCAGGAATTTTATTGAAGAGATTTCGGTTAATCAATCTTATTTTAATTCTCAAGATTATATTTTTAAGAAAGTTATTTTTTATTTATTTGTGGTTTGCAATTGCCCTATTCCCAATTATCTGTACGATTTAACTCATTATCATGTTACGCATGTTTTAAATCATAATGATTGTTTGGATCTCATTATGTAATTTTTTAATGAGAATATTAATGTTTTTTTTCTGTATTGGTTTTGATAAAAATTCTGCTCTAGATGATTTTCTTGCAAATTTTTTTTTTGAATATTTTTGGGATAATATGAGAGTTGATTGAAGTTATACTATTAAATATTTTTTTCACTCTTCTAATCTTTCTATTATAATTAATTATAATGTTTTCACTTTCATTCATAAGCACAATAAGGTTCAATCTTTTTATAATTATAAGTATATTTCTCTTTTCAAATTGTTTATAAGAATTCTCTTCTTTTCTTTTTTGACCCTTGGCGGAAAGGTATTTCTTTTTGAAAAATTCGGTAATGAAGTTTTTAATTGGTCAATTTTCCTAATTTTACTAAAGTAGGTGATGTGATTCTGAATAAAATTTGAAAATTTTCATTCTTTTGTTCTAATCTTGAAGCATATTTGGGATCTATTTTGGAGATTCCTTATGTAAATGATTCTATTAATTGCCTTTGGGGTTCATGATAAGTATGCTCATAAATTCACTTATAATCTTATTTCTGATAATTCTTCTTTAGTTAACTGATACAAGTATGTTTGGTTTAAAGGTTGCTCCATCAAATTTGATGTCAATACTTGGAGAATTTTTTTTATATGATCTTAAAACTAGTGATGTTTTGACTACTGGAGGCATCTTTATTAACAAGTCTTGTGTTTTATGTTTGAATCATAATGAATCTCACCATCTTATCTTTTTCTAATGCAACTTCACCCACTTATTATTAAAAATGTGAATTCCTTATAAAAATTTTCATCTTTTATGTGGTAAAGTGTTACATATTCTCTCTCAAGTGGATTCCTTTGACTCTATTATTATCCAAAGATTTTTCCTGTTAGCAGTACATATTACTACTTATCACATTTGGAAGAATAGGAATGATAGAGTTTTCAAAAATTCTTTTTCTTGGATTGACACTTTGGTTTTCGATATCCATGAGACTATTAAATGAAAGAGTAGGGATGAAAGTAAAGATAATATTCCTGCTTATATTAAAGATATTTATAAATTGTGATTTATTTGTTTTTTATGATTCTTGTTTTAGTTTTATTTTTGTTGTTAGCTTTTATTATGTTTTTGGGTCTTGTTTCTTTGCAACTGTTTTGTTTTTTACTTCGGTTTCTTTTCTCTCTTTTGTTCTTATTTTCATTCTTTCCTTTTGTTAGTTGCTCTGGTTTTCCTTTTGTTTTATTTGGTCTTCTTGTTTTTCTTGTTGTGGTGTTGTTTAGACTACTTTTTGTTGTTGTTGGATTATTGTGCTGAGTATGGTTATTTCAGTGTGTAGTTGTTAGTTCTCTTTCCTGGCATTATAAGTTTATTCTGCTTTTAGGATGTTTTTTATGTTTTTCCTTTGATCTTCTGCAGTTTTAGCTTGTGAGGTCCTTTTGATTTTTTGGTGTTGTTGTTACTGTTGTTTTTTGCATTTTTACTGTTACGTTCACTGTAATATTCCTTGTTGATTTTTTTTAATGCTTCTTTGGTTATTGATCTTATAGTTAAGATACTACTTCTGATTTTTCTTTCTGTGCCTGTTTTTGGGTATTACGTATGATTATCCATTTCTTGCTCTGAGACTATGTCATTCTTTAGAGATTATATCTTGGTGTTCTCATTTATCATTCTATTTTTCATTAAATTTGGATGAAATTTCTATTTCACCACCTAATGAAAGTTGTAACTGGTACTTGAGGTGCTAATGGAGTTATTTAATTCATATTTGCTGCCTAGAATTATCCAGCCTTATAGTTTATTGCTTCTATTATTGGGATATTGTTTCTTAGATTCTTGTTAGAGCCGCTTAGTATTGTTTGGATTTGGTTGAGCTATATTTTTACTACCTCATTTCTTGCCTCCCTGAGGTTTTCAGTTTGACTGAAATTTTTATTTTGGCTCCTTAGGTTTATGGGATATATATTTACTAATCCATATTTTGTCTATTTTTGATTTATCTGATATCCAAGGTTACCATTAGATGCTGTTCGTTGCGATTCCATGTGATATTGTCTATTGCTGATCATGGTGGTGCTGCCTGTTGCTGATTTAAGTGCTTTTCTTCTTCTTTCATATATTGGACCTGCCTTACTTTTCTGGAGGATTATTTAGATCTTGGGTTTTCTTAAGGCTGTTTAGTGCTACTTTAAGTGGTTTTCTTCTCCTTGCAAGTGCTTTTTTTATTGTTATTGTGTTTTCTTTCTGTATACTTTTTTTGAGCTCCATGTTGTGCATTGTAGCTGTTTTATTTGTTATTGTTTGTGTTTCTTGAGTTGTATTTTTCTTTTTTTTTGAATAAAGTTAGTTTTTTCTTTAAAAAACAAACCTTGACAAAAAAAACAAGATGAGCAAATACTTTAAATGTTGAGATTTATTATTAAAGCAGCACGTGCCAACGATCAGACATGAGCACCCGATGCTCGCCACGGCAAGCTTGCAGCCATGTCAAGATAAGAATTCCCCAATAAAAAATCATATCCATACGCGTTCTTAGCCCGAACGGAACCCACGTACCCATGAGTCCTTAACACGTACCTCTGCAAAACTTTTTACTTTATATACTTCTCTCAACCCCCTTCTCCTTCCACCGCACCATCAACACCAAAACAAACGACCCCGATCTCAACCTCTCTCAAAATACGCTCAACCATGTCAACCACGAAGGTAACATTACCAAACGATCCAACTATCATCTGATTTCAAAGCCAAAACTGACACTTAATTTTGGGATTGAACAACAGGAAGAGAACAAACCTGAGGTGGCCGGCGAGCATCCTAGCGGAGAAAAACTGCCGGAAGAGAAGGTGGTGAAGACGGTCGATAACAGGTCACCGGCGGCTGCGGGGGATGACCAGATCACCGAGAAAAGGCCGGTTGAAATTGTTCATGAGATTCATGGAGGATTGAAGGATAAGCACGATGCTCCGAAGCAAGATTAATTGATGATTATGTGGATGCTTGTTTATTTCTCGATTTGTTCTTATCGTATAATTTGATTCTGGTTTGTAACTTCTTAATTGGGCTGCTTATTTATGCCTTTATGCTTTCAAAATAACCGATCTTTGGGTAAGTCTTGCTATTAATTAATAACCCCTATCTTCATCTTTTCTGCTGCTGACAACCAGCTTTCTAAAAAAGAAAAAATTGAGCTAGAAAATTCTAAGAATGGGAGTAGAGAGTAAATTTCAAAAAAAGACTGGACCACGTCATAGGTTTAAAAATATTTTTAAAAATGAAAAATGAAATAAATAACTTTGAAAAAGTATATTATATTTAAACAAAGTTATGATGATGAAGATTTAAAGAAAAAAATAGAAGGGAGAAATTGTTTCAGGATTTATTTAGTTCTGCGTGCGGATTTTCAGTAATATGTCATCACTTAGTGATTATTAAGAGATTATTACTGTGAAATTGAAGAGATTATTGATGAATTATTGTGATGTTATTATGAGGTTGTTGTCGGGTTATGCAAGGCGTGGAGATTATTTTAGTGTTATTGGGGTGTTGTTATGAGATTATTGTAAAAAATAACTGCTGAGATTATTAAAAATGTAACAACGAAGATTATTGAGAAGTTATTGAGAGGTTATTCCTGTGTTATTAATATTCATGCTCCAATAACTCTTAATTATCCTTCCAAAAATCTCCGTGGTTCCACTTTAATAATCACGAGGTGGGCCGGATACAACAATCGAGTTTGTGCTATGTATGTGCTTCATATGTATAAAAAAGACTTGAATCACGTTATAGGCTTAAAAGATTTTTAATAATAAAAAGTAAATAAATACTTTTTAAAAAATACATTGTATTTAGACAAACTTATGGTTATCAAGAATTAAAGAAAGAATATCAATCTTAAAAATGTTTGGGGCGATAAAATCATTGTGAATTTAATAAGAATAAAAAACATGGATTGTGATTTTAGGATGACCTTTGTTACTTGAGTGAGATTTTGAAAAATGGATGCAAGGGGGTGCTTGATTTGTAAATAGGATTATGTTGGGTGCGCTGTATGTAATCAGTTTTGACACCTTACATTTGCCTCCACTGGGTTTGGATGATTTCTGATTATCTTAAGCTCTAAAATTAAATCCAACGTTCCTTCATCCAATGCCCTGGAAATGCCTTAAAATATATTAATTTCAACAAGTAGAAAAGATTTGAATTTACATAGCATGATAATATAAATGTTAACATTAAAAAAAATTATTTAATTGAAAACTATCAATATGTGTGATTAACGAGAGTTTCTTACATGTTATAAATACATTTTAGATGGTTAAAATATTATGTTTAATGTCTACTTAAATCCACTCATAAGAGTTTTTAGTGAAGTTTTCAGAGTGCTTAAAATATTGTTTAAATTTTAGGTCATTAAAATACAATATTTAATATCTCTGAGTGTTTAGTATGTAAAAACTACTAAAGGTATAAAAAATAAAGCTTATGTTTTAATTATGTAAATAAATAAAAATTAAATAGTATTTATGTAAATCCCCTTTTTTAGATATTGTCAATGCAACTATGAAAATGAGCGTTCAAAATTGGCCTTAAATTTAGCCTCAGAGTGAACCATAAACTATTTGAGTTCTTTATAATTGTAATAATGGTAATGTAACCATGTAAGTACAACTAAACAAAGAGGAGCCTGACTCAGTTATTGAGTAACAAGAATAAAAGTTTTTGGTATCATCATACCATATTTTTGCTTGCTTTCAAGTTGTACATGACATAGATATAATGAACTAGACACAGGTGCTCCAGAAATGGGTTCACATACGCTCACATATAGTCTAATGTTCCTTTATTGTCAAATATTCTTAATGAAGGCATCTACAAATAGAATATGCAATTTTTGCACAGAAAGTTAAGGTGGTAACTCTCATCTTATTGCAAAGTTTGTATAATTGAAGCATTAGAGTTGAAATTTTTTTCAAAATAGGCATATTTTGAATGTTAGTCTTCTCATCTTGTGAGCATAATAAGCATGGTCGGGCTACGAAAATACTCTTTTTTAAAAGAATGTATACATGCCTTGAACATTTAAACCAAAAAAAGTTAAGTAGTGCATCTTGAACTAAGCCAACTTACTCCATCAAACATTTAGTTATTATATATGAATTCTTTGGCATTTGTTAAATACAAAGTTTCATGCCCTTCCACAAATCCATATCATTCCCACGAACTTGTAGCAATGATGTCAGTTATAATCTTAAATGAGATTTTTAACAACTATCATCAATTAAACCAAATGGTCTTCCTTAATAAATTTAAATATATAAGGTGAAACTGAGTAGCTTTGTTTTCACTCATATGTTAGAAAAAAAGTTTCCATAAAGCTAGCTCATTGTTGATAATGAAAGAGAATGGAACAGCTGAAATGCAAGCAGACATCCATTTTTTTAAGGGCTGGAGGAAGGCTAATGTAGGAAAGCCTGAGTATTAGAAAATCACAATTCGGATGATTGAAATATTTCCTTAAAGGCACTAGTACAATAAAAATTCATTCTCATACCTGTGTTATAGTGATTAGTCAAGAATTCATTGACCTTCCATAAAAGTTGTGCGAGACAAATTAATTCATTTGCATGACATGTTTTACAAAATATTAGCAAGAACCTTAGAAATTATCTTATAAAATATGTTGTAATAGCAAGAGATCTAATATTTGAGATCAAATGTGTATTAAACTTTTAAGTGATAAGTGCGCAAACAACGAGTTTGAAATAGTTGCACAACTTAGTGGTCTTAAATAAGTATTGTGATGTACTTATGAATTGAGAGCTTTGGTATCTCAAATAAACATTAGAATGTATAACATTAAATTGTCATACATAGAAGCTTTCTAATTTTTCTAAGAAAATAAAAATTTTAATATCTATATGCAACACTAAGAAATTTTAGTAAAGATATGTCGATCGAGCAATATACATTTTAGAGTCTGTGTACCAATCGTACAAAAAATTTTGTCAAATTTTTCTAATAGGTGAAGTTCTAATTACTAAACCACTAAGCTTAGTTTAAAGTGTTCATTATTGCAAATGAAAAAAGGTAATAAATTCTTAAATCTAAAATAAAGAAATAATGCGAAATTCTTTTAGTCTTGTGCTTTTGTGACACCAGTCTAACAATTCCTTTACTTTTTCTTATGAGTTTCATATGTGATTGTTGAGCATTAGGGGCAAGTCCACCTTAGCCTATGTCTAGTTCATGATGTTAGAAACCTTAATATATTTAAGGATATCTTGGTCATAGCATTACAAACCTTATTATATTTAAAGGGACTTAACCATGTAGTGTCCTACTCCCCTATCTTGGTTGGAATTTTTTTAATGGTAATATATTTATTCTTATAGGCTAGTATGTTTTAATATATTTATTCTTAGAGTAAATGATTAGAAGTCCTACAACATTATTGGGTTTAACATTTTAACTTTGTCAAATCATGGGTAAACTATAACAAAAAAAGTTAACACTTCAACATATGGAATTAAAAAGCACAAAAAGTATGTTAGTGAAGCAGTAACAGAGAAAATAATGAGAAAACTCACTTTCCTTACATCACAGAAGCATGAAAGAGAATTTAGCTACAATGTATGAGGTGAAAAAAAATAGAAAATTTCATTGAAAATATCAAAGATACAATATAAGAAAGTACAGAAATTCACAATTGAGCCAAACATTCTTTGCTAATTGGATTCCTCTCCATAAAATGCAATTCTCCATCAATATTTAGTGTTCAATAAAACACTATCTCTCTCTCACAATCCTATCAAATCCTAAAAGAAATCACCCTAGAAATCTTCTTTAAGGGAGAACTGATGGAGAAACCTTAGGGTATACCAAGTCTTCTAAAACCAAAAAGAGGAAGCCTCCATAACCAAGAGTGTCCTTTAGGCTTTAATTACATGTTCATATATTTTTAGGGCTCAAAATTTGGTAAGAAACCCTTCCAATTTTGTCAATTAATAAAATAGAGTGTCTTGCACAAAAGAGTGGTCTGGGTGCTCTAGGTTTTTCCATGGGCGTGTCGGGCACTCTCTTAGGCAACATGGATGTGCTTCCCTCGGGCACAAGTGCACTGCTTCTCCATGAAATGGAAGAAGCATTCCTTTCCTTGGCACGAGCATCATTGGTGTTTTAGCCACTTTGTCATCTTTGACTCTCTTGAATGAGTTCAACCACTGTATCAAATAAAACATAGCAAAAGCATCTTTCACAAGCATAAAATTATTATAATATGGAACTAAAATATGAAATTTATGAAGGTAATTCATATTAATTCCTCCAAACTTGCATATTACTTGCCCTTATCTCATATCTAAACCTAAACTTATTTAAATTTTCGTAACTCTTGCGTGAGACTTTCTGAATCTCTAACAAGTTTATATAAGTTGCAATACAAGATATACAAATATTATATCAAGATTGGATATTTATTAATCTCTAATAATATAGTATTTCACACATAATTTTTTTAAGCTTAAGTAGATCTCAAAACTCTTTAATTTGGTGTGATTAAAATATTTTTATATTCTCCATAGATATTCTTAAGTCAATTAACTCTCAATAAAATAACCTAAAGTCACTTAACTTTCTCTAGAATATAATATTTAAGAAGTCAATAAAAAAAGGGTTTAAATTTGATCAATTAGTAAAGGGTTAGACACTAACTTTTGACATTTTATGCTAAATCACAAGATTTTTATCAAAATGTTACCGGGCAGTTCCTTTCCTCATTTGAATTTTTTTTTAAGTTATTGTCTTGCAAAATTTTTTTTTCTTTTATTTTGCTTCTATTTTAGTCCAAAATTATCTTAAATTTCACTGAGAATTATTATATCTAGTTGAACAAATTTCCTTTAAGGATTTTAAATGCCTAATTTCTCTCAGTTGCAAATCCTCAAACTCCTTAGCATAAATTCCAGAACACTAAAATCCATTCAAACGTTAAGATCAATTAAATTGTTTGAGATAAAAATTTAAAGGCTCAAAAATTTATAGTTAATTAATTCTTTTTAAATTACACCCTTTTAATTATTTAAAGACTTTTTA